ACAGAGTGAGCTCCAGGGCTACACAGAGAAAACCTGTCTCAAAAAAACAACAACAAAAAAATTTTATCTTTACTATTTCTTTGCTTTCTGCTCTCAAATAATCTCTTAAGACTATATTGTAAACTACCCCAGAATGTGTAAATTCACTGGGTATGTTTTAAAAATCTGTAACAAAATTTAACTTAAAACTTATAACAAAGGGCCTACAATTACAAAACTATACATAGGTCATCTTAATTTGCTACAACATACATACATATATATATATATATATATATATATATATACACACATATAATATATATATGATTCAATTCTTTTTTTTCCCCCCCAAAACAGGGTTTCTCTGCATAGCTTTGGAGCCTGTCCTGGAATTCGCTCTGTAGACCTGGCTGTTATTGAATTCACAGAGATCTGACTGCCTCCGCCTCCCAAATTCTGAGATTAAAGGCGAGTGCCACCACCGACTGGCAATGATTTTATTGTTGTTTAGAATATAGTGTATATGTAACTTGGATTCAACTCCTGTTTTTAAAAAATAGATCTACTAAAAAATAGATGTTTTTAAATAGCAACCATGTGGCTCACCTCCATCTTGGCTGATGACCTCATCAGGATGGAAGGAACCATGCGTCTGGCAGCCAACTTTATTGGGGTTAAAAGAGAGTACATGCAATGTGACTTCACCACCACCTTGATTAAGATGACCACATGGTATAAACCAACTAAGGCAACACTCATGAAACTCCTTAGTCCTACTGAACCCTCTGTTTATCATTGTATCTCCTTTTTAGACGAACGAGGTCCAAAATATTTTGGATTAGAATAGATTTTTATGTGATAATAAATTCGTAAGTTTACTCAGGTTAACAGAAACCGACTTGGAGATGTAAGTCTAACCACTTACATCTTTGCTAACTGTTCAATACCAGGCTTCTAGAACATTTTTAATAACAAACAACATGTTTGATAAATAATGTGTATTTGGTAAATAAGATTTATAAATTCCTAAGATCTACTCAGGTAAACAATAGCTGACTTGAAGATGCATGTCTCTCCTCTTTGTCTTTCCTAGCTTTTCTAAGCTTTATCTTCTGGGATAAACTGAATCATACAAGAAACTGATATTCTGTAATCATTCACTATAAAGGATCAAGAAGCCAGGTAGTGGTAGTACACCCCTTTAAACTCAGCACTCGGGAGGCAGAGGAAGGCAGATGGCAGATCTCTGTGAGCTCAAGGTCAGCCTTGTCTATAGAGTGAGTTCCAGCCAAAGCTATACAGAGAAACCCCATCTCAAAAAGCAAACAAACAGACAATAACAATAAAAGAAAGACCAAGAAAATAAGTTTCCCAATCCCTCTGTGGACTGTATTTATGGTTTTGTAAAATTCCCAGTCTCTTTGTAGACTTTATTTATGGTTTAAAGTTTTATCTTGGTGCTAAAGGATCTTAAACTCCAAATTTTAAGACTCAAACTTAACAGAGATAAAATTGTAAAATCCTGATCTTATTAACTAAGCTAGGTGGTGGCACATGCCTTTAATCCCAGCACTTGGGGGATCTCTGTGAGTTCGAGGCCAGCCTGGTCTACAGAATGAGTTCCAGGACAGCCAAAGCTACACAGAGAAACCCTGACTCGAAAAATCCAAAAAAAAAAAAAAAAAAAGTGCTAACTTGTTGTAAACTATTAAAGACAATTAAGACATGCAAGTTAGTGGTCAGTCACCTTATAAATGATCAAATTCGGTGGTGGCGCACGCCTTTAATCCCAGCACTCGGGAGGCAGAGCCAGGCGGATCGCTGTGAGTTCGAGGCCAGCCTGGGCTACCAAGTGAGTCCCAGGAAAGGCGCAAAGCTACACAGAGAAACCCTGTCTCGAAAAACCAAAAAAAAAAAAAAAAAGATCAAATTCTTTAATGTACTAAAAACTATGCTCATAAGCCACACTAAGTACAAATGTAATTCATTTACAGGGACAAGCTTTATTTAGCCTTCTGTATATGTTTTTCAAGGTTAATCCTAAAGTAAATAAGTAAAAAGAAGTAAAATTTTCTTAACTCAGGCATGCTTAACAGATGATGGTCCTCAGACTCCTCAGAGATCTGCTAAATATGGCATTTAAAATGTTTAATGGAAAAAGCTTCCTGTGATAGACAGAGTTGCCACTCCTAACAATGACCCTCAGGTTTCCAAAGAAGACAATAGGGCACAGATGACTTCACCTGGATTGTGGCAACACTAACCACTGGATGAAGAACTGACCCATGCCTCACCCACACCAGGGCTTTGCCCAAACTGTGGACACTGTTGAGTTGGCTGTCCTACTCAGCCTCATCAAGGTATGCCAGTTTCCCCAAGTTCCTCCTCCACAGGAAAATCTCTCAGATCTCTGGGTCTAGCAGTCAAAGGCCAATGCTGTATCCTGTAGTAGCTGCCCCCCAACAAAGCCATTGAGACCACCATGGAGCACCTACACTAGCCATCCAGGTAGTCATTTTAATTGATACAGAGGCAGTTTGGATTGTACTTCCTGCTATAATTTGTCCCTCTCAAGTCTCTGATACTGTTGATGACTAACTGTTGCTGTTAACAGCAGCAAGAAAACCAGCTCCTTCCCCAAGGCTGTACGGCCTGGTCAGTCCATTTCAAAAGATATGAGCTACTAGGTCTCCTGCTGAGAAAGGCAGACACAGACAGTTTACCTTGCCTACGGCCTTCACACTTTAAATGAGATAAACTCACAAAACAGGTTTCAGTGTAACTTCTTACTATTCCTTCATTTAAAGGAGTTTGCTTTGCAATGACTGCCCTCAGGAACCAATCACCTGTGTCTCATGACAACTGATTGGGTGGAAAGAAAAGATTTGAAGCTTGTGTAAGCTGTAAGGGTCTAAAAAAAACGTGATTGAAGTTATATAAATGCAAGTTGTAAAGGTCTGAGGATGCGAAAACTTAAATTGTGAGGGTCTAAGAAGATGTTTTGTTTCTGTTTGGTTTGGCTTAGTTTTTGGTTTTTCAAGACAGGGTTTCTCTAATAACAGCCCTAGCTGTCCTGGAACTCCCTTGGTAGCCCAGGCTGGCCTCAAACTCACAGAGATTCTCCTGCCTCTGCCTCCCGAGTGCTGGGATTAAAAGCGTGCGCCACCACCCCCTGGCTGGTTGATTTCTAAGTATGAACTTAAAAAGTGCTTCTCATTGTTTTAAAGACATCTGTGCAGTTTCTAGATAAAAGAAAGCCTGTTCATGCTTTTAACTCAGAATTATTTTTTGGGGAGGGTCCCCAAGCTTTTATTATGACTCAAGGGCATGAGTCAATTTTTTACAATGTAAATTTCAGTACAGATTACAAAGAATGATAATGCTAATATATATAAAACTTTTATCTATTTTTGTAAACTTAAAAAAATTCTTGTAAGCTTCAGGGAGTCATGAGACTTGGATCCACTTCTCACAGGTCAAAGACTCCAGATACGTAGTCCTGTCAATCAACAGCCGAAGTTTCCCTACCTGCCTATTTCTGAGGGTGGGATCCCCATTTCCCTGGTCTTAGGGTTCCTCCCCTTCTTCAATTACCAGGGCCATGGGCCTAGAAGTTTCAAGTGTACACCCAAGATAAAAAGTTTCCCCTAAGCTCCTTAACTTTACCTTCGGTCCCTAGCCTGTACCTGTCCCAGCAGATTTCCAATCAGCTGAAGAGTGCAGACTGCCCCAAAACTCCCTGAAACACTCCAGCCCCAGATGTTCCTTGGAATCTGCATCCTAGACTGTTCCAAAGCAGCCTGCACTTCACTAGCCTCAGGTGGTCCCTCAGAACCTGGGCAGTGAGCAAAACAGATGTCCTCTAGCCTGCACCCTTCTCTTCCTTCCAGCATTCTTGGGCCCCCAACAACGATGTCCCAATTTCAACTAAGAAGAGATTACCTCACCCCTTATCATCAACAAAAAGGCTGGAATGTCAGATTCCCAAAGAAACCCCAGCCAAATGGCTAACTGTGGTGCCTCTTGAGCCGACCAAAGCCAGGCTCTCTCCATTGCAAGTGCCTGACATAGAGTCCTGGCTCCTCTCGGTGCTTCTCAGCCCCATGCCCTACCCTAAACCTCTCCAGCCCCGGAGCCTTGCTCCCCCTCCCCCAGCTTCTGACTCCTATCATAACCCAGCCATTTTGCCACACACTCTTGGGTCTTCTTTGTCCCCTTGGTCCTTGGCTCCTTTCCTGGTCCCCTCTCTTGGCCCCCGCCCTCTTTTCCTCTCTCATTCTCCCTCCCTCTCTCTCCTCTCATGGCCCGGTCTATTCTGCTGGCCACGTTCAGTCTGGACTCTTCCAGATGCCTCTCTCTGGCTGTTCTCTCCCCCATCTCCACAATAAAAACCTTCTCCTCGACTACACCAATATCCTCACTTTCATGCACCTTCCACTTACGAGGCACTCACTGTGTCGGGCTTCCTGGCAAGTACTTCAGGTGATGGATCACATCCTCCTCCTATGAGAGGACTAGTCACACCCCCATGAGGAAACACACTGAAGGAGAATGCCCAGAGTTCAAAGCCATAAGTGGCAGAGTTGGGATCCAACCTCCAGCCACTCAACCTGTTTCTTAGTGCCCATTTCCCTTCACATTAGTCAGCTGTGCCCCAGGACACAGGGTTCATTCCTTTCCCCGGGTATGAATACATGCCTTCATCTCCTATCAGAGGACCAGCCCAGGCAAGGAGGAGCCTGTCTCTCTGAGAGGAATATCTTCTTCAGCTTTTAGGGCTAGGACCATCCTCAACCCAAGTCCATGGAGAGAGGTGAGCACCCAATCTCTTCCACTGCCAACCACTCCATCCTCCTGTCTCTCACCCACCAATGACTCCGCCGTTTGCCTCAAAGAACCCCTCATCCCTGAACCCTGAAGACTGGGCAAAGGAGAGGAACAAACAGTCAAGACAACATATTTTACTTTTTCCAATATTTTTATTAATCAAATATTATAAAATAACTGTCATCCATAAATGCCCAAGCACCTAGCTGGTCCTCTCACCCCAAACCTCTGAAGTCATGCCCTCCTCAGCCTCTTTTGCAACTCTGCTCCTGTTTTGCCCTGCTCCTACTCAGAGACAGACCCTGGAAGGAGGATGGGGCAGAGCTGGAAGCAGCAAGGATGGCACAAGGCTGACAGCTACAGTTGAGGTCGGACAGGATTAGAAGGGATAGGTTCTCAGACACCCTTTTCAGGACCAAGTATCCAGCCAGCTTCCCAGCCCCATTCTTCAGATCACTTCCCATAGCCCAGTTCCTTTCTGCCCTTCCCCTACTACCAAGGGCTTGGCCCTTACCCCGCCAGGATCCCTGCATATCCTCTCCAGCCCCACCCCACCCCCTGAGCTCCCCTGGGATGAGGACTTCTGGACCCAGGAGCTCCACAGAGCACCCTAGATGAGTGCACAGAGCCCACAGGGAAGGCTGTCCTTACAGAGATGAGGAGAGGTGCAGGCTGGGGAATGGGGTGGTGGGGGTAGAGAAACATTTTATTTCCAGGCTCAGGACCTCGAAAATCCCCTACCCCCAACACCCCCAACCAGTTCCAAGAAGAGGTCCTCAGCTCCGAGCAACAGGGCTGTCCATCTTCACACTCTTGGCTGCTTCTCCAATCAGCTCCCAGAAGCTTCCAAACTCCAGTTTCGTGTCATTGCAGTTGCCCAGGTTGGCAATTTTCTCTTCTAGCCCACAGTTGCTCTGAGGACAGGAAAGACACCACAACTCAGCAAGACAGTACCTCCAGATCTTCCTGCCCCACCCTGGCCTGGGGCGGGTAGGAGGGCAGGAGCCTACCAGGCGTTGGCAAGAGGGAAAGGCACGGGGTTACCAGTGCCAGTGTGGGTGGGGTCTTGGAGCACTAGTCTGGGGAGTCAGGGGTCTGGGTGGGGTGGGGTCCACTCCCTCAGTACCGGCATGAGGTGTGGCAGCTGCTGGGTAACCAGGTCTCGTAGTTCAGCCGGGGTCAGTGTCTCCTTTCCACCCTCCACAGAGTACTGATGGAAGTTCTTGATGAGGGTCTCAATGGCCCTCTCTACATCGCTGAATTCTTGGGCATCCTGAAGACAGGAGACACAACCCACATCAGGAGGGCCCACCCACCCTACAAAACCCTTCCCAGGAGCCTTGGAAAATCAACAGGCTAGAAAGCAGCTAGAGGGCTGGAGGGATAGCTCAGCCGTTAAAGGCTAGGCTCACAACCAAAAATATAAGAAAGCAGCTAGAAGACAATCCAGAGCCCAGAATCCTGCCCCACTTCCCTCTCCCCTAGCCCAGGCTCCAGGACTCAGTGGCCTCTGCCCTAAGCCACAGATTAGGCAAGCCCCACAACCCCAGCTCCCAGGCAGGGCAGGCCCCAGCATGTGCCCAGACATCCTATTTCCAGAAGAACTCCATTTGCATCATCCTGGGTAAGCAAAAGGGAGGAGATTGGGGGCTTGCTGGCAGTGTCTACAGGGCAAGGCCTAGGAAAGCAGCAGAAGTCAGTAGGGGCATGAACCCTCCTAACAAGAAGAGTGTAAGAACAGAAAGACTGGCCAGATGAATGGGCCCACCTCAGCGTTGGCTGACCGACACTGTCCCATGGTGCCTGGTACACTGGTCCTTCCGTGAGTTAGTTTTGTCGTCTGTCCTATAGCCTGCCCCACAGGAGCTGATGGCTCATGATCTGCCTGGAAAAGAGGGGGAGGCCTGAGGTGAGGGGAGAGCTCTTCATTCTTTTTTTCTCATGGCCGCGTTTGGCTCCACCCAACATACACCTTCACCTCAGCGGTTGGAGTCTACTCCACACAGATCCAGTCCCTGCCCAAACTCCAGGAGCTAAGGCCACAGCCCCCAGGCCAACCCACTCAGAGGGTATCCCCCTGGGCCTCCTTCTGCCCACCTCCTCCAGCCACCCCTGTGAGACTTGGGCAAGAGAGGCATGGGGTACTCCCTGAAGAGCGACAGCCCTTCCAGGCGGAAGGCGCTGGACTTTCTTACCTGCTGGCAGCTGCAGAGACAGGATGGAGGAGCCAGCTCACCTGAGTTCAGCTCTTATACCTGGGGGAAGGGAGGGGAAGCCAGGGGCAGGGCCAGGGCCTTATCCCTCAGCCACCCCAGCTATTGCAGCCTCCCGGGCTGGGAGCCAGCTTTGTGAGCCCCACCCTCTACAGCGCTAGAGTCAGTTCCCACCCCTACCATGAGGAGGAAGCCATGGAGGGCTGGGTATGGGATACCCCTGGCACAAGATCACCTTACAGAGTCCCAGGGAGAGGGGAGAAGGAAGGCAAGGGGTGCAGAAGGAGCCATACCCGGGAGGGTAGGAACCCGTAGCAGCTGTGAGGCAGGGAGCAGAGGGAGTCTGCACGGAAGGAGAAGCAAGGGCTGATCAAGGTGAATTTGTGGGACGAGGAGCTTGAAAGAGATCCCCAGGGTCTCTGTGCTTGGACGGATGCTCACTCACTCTTCTCCCCTCTCCCTCCCAACCAGAGCGAATTTGGCTAGTAATACTCAGGCCTGCTGAAACCCAGAGCCAAGCCTTTCCCAGTCCTGATGGCATAGAGATGAAAAGGTTGAAAGGAAGGGCCAGAGCAGTGCACCCTGGTACTGGGAACCGACCGCACTGAGCCTTCACCTGACGCCCTGCCAGCGCCCTGCAGCCGCCCAGGGCACACATGTGCAAGGCTCAAAGGAGTTCCCTGGCAGGGAACAACCTCTTCAAACTGGTTGGGCTGCCACCTCCTCTCCCCCTCCCTCCAAATCCTACCCCTTCCCTGAACAGCATGTCAAACATCAGAACTCCAATCTACTACCCAGAAACCCCAGGGGAAGCCTAAACTATACTTCCTGGGACTGTGACCAATCCAACTAGCCCTCCTCACCTGCCCAGGACCTAGGACCTGGCTGGGCCCCTAAAGTCATGGGAAGGACAGACCACAGTGGAAGGGCTGAGGGGTCAGTAGAAGGATTACATGGGCCTAGACTCAAAATTCCCTTCCTAACTCTGAAATCAAGAGCAGATATGCAGATGGTCTTCCCTGTGTCACCTGCTGGAGGTCCCCTGTATTTGTGGTCTCAATCGGGGACTCTACCACAACAGTCTCCTTTGGAAAGCTCCTCTGAAGGGCTTCAGTCTGGAGACACTACAAGGGTCTTGCCATCAGAGGGCTTCTCAGAGTCCCTCAGCCTGGGTTCCCACTGAGAGCCCAGTGATCCCTCTGAGGTCCCTCTCCTGGTATGTGATGGGGAATTTGTCTCTGCTAATTTTCCTCTGGTTGACTAGCTGCCCCACGTGGACACCCACAGTTACAGCAGTGAGAACCCAAGAGGCTTACATCATTGCCACACCCCTACTCTCTCTAGTGGTGAGTTGTGCAAACCACTCGTCCCTCAAGTCAGAGAATGCAGGGTGGGGACAACTCTGTCCCTAAGCACTCCATACTACCACAGCTCCCTCTCCCTATCATAATTGAGCAGCACTTCTCCAGTCCAGCACTAGTGATTCTTGTCTTTGCAACCTAGCCTCCCTAAAAATGTTTCCTCAAAGCCAGGCGTGGTAGTGCACCTGTTATCCCAGCGCCTGTGAAGCTGAGGAAGGAAGATTGCTGAAGAGAGCAAGACTCTATCTCAAAACAATCCCAAGGGGGCTGGAGAGATGGCTCAGCAGTTAGGAGCACTGACTGCTCTTCCAGAGGCCCCACATGGCAGCTCACAACTGTCTGTAACTCCAAGATCTGACACCCTCACACAGACACACATGCAGGCAAAACACCAATGCACATAAAATAAAAATAAGCAAATCATTAAAATAATAACAACACAAAAAGAAAGAAAAAAGCTAAAAGAGGCCTGGGGGTGTGATTCCTTCCAATTGCCTAACACGTGCAAGATCTTAGGTTAATCCTCAACACTGTAAAAATTGGATTAATTGGCCGGGCGGTGGTGGCGCACGCCTTTAATCCCAGCACTCGGGAGGCAGAGCCAGGCGGATCTCTGTGAGTTCGAGGCCAGCCTGGTCTCCAAAGCGAGTTCCAGGAAAGGCGCAAAGCTACACAGAGAAACCCTGTCTCGAAAAACCAAAAAAAAAAAAAAAATTGGATTAATTAACCTTAACAGCTGTGACAGTTAACGAGGGCAATATGGGTAAAATGTTTAACAGGTGTTCATTATCCTGACCAGCCCAGGAACAAACTCCAGGAGTTATATGGGGAAAACCGGAAGCTGGAGCCATGGAGCTGAGCCTCAGGAGCTGCCTGCCTCAAATCTCTGCATTTTTCTTTCTTCCTTTTAAAATGATTTATTTATTTTTATTTTATGTACATTGGTGTTTTGCCGGCCTGTATGTCTGTGTTGGGGTCTCAGATCCCTTGGACCTGAACTATAGACAGTTGTGAGCTGCCATGTGGGTGCTGGGACTTGAACCCAGGTCCTTTGGAAGAACAGCCAGTGCTCTTAACCACTGAGCCTCTCCAGCCCCCACGTCTCCATATTTTTCACTCATCAACTATGTGTTTATTGAGCACCTGCTTAATGCAAGACCTATTGCTATGTCACACATGCTCAAGGACCTGAGTTCTGTCCTGAACACCAGAGGGATGAAGAAATCATATAGTAGGTAGGATGCTAGATGCTTCAGGAGAGCTGAAGAAGAATCACATTCCTTGCCTTCAAAGTGCCTACAATTTTCATGTTTTCACCTCAGGTAAAGATAGGGCTTTCCCATTCCCTGGTCTCACAAAAAGAAATCTGGTAGAATATAAAAATAAGCATCTGTGTTTTAAGAAGGAAGCTTTATTAGGGGGAGTGGGGTTCTGCCTGGCCCTGCCCAGCTGACTCTGCTGGGCCCCAATCCCGACACGCATGCTTTACTTCTTCTGGATCTCCAAGGCTTTCTCCTTCCTTATTTCCTTCATCCTGACATGCAGGCTTTACTTCTTCCGGATCTCCAAGGCTTTCTCCTTCCTGATTTCCTTTGCCAGTTCCCCAATCAGTCTCCAGTACTCATTGAACTTCAGCTCCGAGTCTTGGTTCACATCCAAGCTCTTCATCTTCTCATCTAGAGAGCCTACATCCTAAGAAGATGTAAAAGGATTAGGAACTAGGGCTCTTGGAGCAGGGAGAGAGGGAAGAACCATCAGGTGCTTCCCTCAGACAATGTCAACACCTGCCCAAAGGATGAGGCTACGGACCCAGAACTGCACTGCCTGAGGTCCCATATCCAAGGGTTTTTAGATTCATCCATTTTATTTTATATGTATGAGCATTTTGCCAACATGTGGTATGTATGTGTACCACATACATGCCTGGTGCCCACAGAAGTCAGAAGAGGATTGTCTTCGTTAGGGTTTCTAATGTTGTGAAGAGACACCACGACCACAGCAACTCTTATAAAGGAAAACATTTAATTGAGGTGGCAGCTTACAGTTTATAGGTTTAGTCCATTATCATCATGGCGGGGAGTATGACAGCATGCAGGCAGACATGGTGCTGGCTATACCTTGATCAGAAGACTGTCTCACTAGGTGTGGCTTGAGCATATATGAACCCTCAAAGCTCACCTCCACAGTGACACACTTCCTCCAATAAGACCATACCTATGCCAACAAGGCCACACCTCCTAATAGTGCCACTCCCTTTGAGGGCCATTTTCTTTCAAACCAACATAAGGATGCTGTCTAAACAGAAGTAACAGATGGATTTGAGCCACCATATGGGAACTGAGCCTGGGTCCTTTGTAAGAGTAGTGTACATAACCACTGAGCCATCTCTCCAGCCCCACGCTCAACATTTGGGTCAACATCTGGACAAAGGCAAAGATCTGCCAAACAAATCTCTAGATGACATGAAGCAAATCCATAGAGGGTTTTTGGTTTTGGTTTGGTTTTTTGTTTTGTTTTGTTTTTTTAGCAGAGTCTTTTTTTCCCAAAAGATTTATTATGCATGTGTATGATACAGGGGAGGGGCACACCACCTTTATGTGGGACCTGGAGATAGAACCAAGGTCATCAGGCTTACCCACTGAGTTTAGCAGAGTCTTTTTTTTTACTATGTATACACATAATAATGTCTGTATACATATACATAATAATGTCTGTATATTTGCCTGCAGGCCAGAAGAGGGCATCGGATCTCATCATAGATGGTTGTGAACCACCATGTCGTTGCTGGGAATTGAACTCAGGACCTCTAGAAGAACAGTCAATGCTCTTAACCTCTGAGCCATCTCTCCAGCCTGAGTTTAGCAGAGTCTTAAGCTCACTCACTGTACAGCCACACTTCCTCCACTACCAGTCAAGGGAAATGTAGGAGGGCAACCCGCTACGTCTCTGACTCCAGGCACTGTGGTATTACACTATGTTTTATTTCATTTGAGCCTCATAGTCCACTGGAATGACAGCTTCTGTGGCACAAGGGCCTGGTCTACCTTGTCCAACACTACACTTTCAATGTCAAGTACGCAGCTGAAGTTTGTTCGCTAAGACAGGAAAAGACAGAGCAAATCTTCAATAAGTACAGGCTGAAGTCCACCACCAGTCCAACAAGAAAGGCATGATGAGTCTGCCTAGCAGATGAGAAACTTAAACCCCAGAAAGGCCAGGTACTGGCACCAAGCACAGTTGAACAGCTAAAACCTGTTTGAGTCCAGGTTGCTCTCGAGACCGACCTCTCTCTCTCTCTCTCTCTCTCTCTCTCTCTCTCTCTCTCTCTCTCTCTGGCCTCAAACTCACAGAGAGCTTTTTCTCTTTTATTTTATCTTATATGTATGTGCATTTTGTACTATGTATGTGCCTGGTACTTGCTGAGGCCAAAAGAGAGTGTGGACCCCCTGGAACTGGAGAATGGACAGTGACGAGCCGTCATGCTGGCAATGGAACAGAAGCCTGGTCTTCTCTCTAAACCATTAAGCCATTGCTCCAGCTCAAACCCAGATTTTCTAAATCAGGGCTTCAATTCTTTAGCTACTGCTCTGTGTCTTTCTCCCCTGCCTGCACCTGCCCCCACCACAAAAAAAAACAAAAACAAACAAACAACAACAACAACAACAACAACAACAACAAAAACCCTAGAAATGAGCCAGGCCTGGTGGTGCAGGACAGTAGTCTCAGCTGCCCAGCAGACTAAGTCTGGAGGATCATGAGTTCAAAGCCTTCCTGGGCTGTTTAATGAGAGTCTGTTTCAAAAACAAGGGGGGTGGGGCAACTAAGGATATAGCTCAGCCCTTGGGAGTTTACCTAACATGCATGAGGCCCTGGTTTCAATCTCTAATACCATACACACAAAACTATTATTAATAGGTAAACATAGCATAGTAGTACGTGCTTGTAATTCCAGCACTTGGGAGGTGGAGGCAGGAGGATCAGGAATTCAAGATGATTCTTAGCTATGTAGCAAGTTTGAGGCCAGCCTGGGATACATAATAAGACCATGTCTAACAAAGAATTTTTTAAAATAGCTTTTAGTTATAAGAATGTTAACCAGGAGATTGGAGAGATGGCTCCGAGGTTAAGAGCACTGGCTGCTCTTCCGGGGGATCTGGGTTCAATCCTTAACACCCATATGACTGCTAACAACAATCTGTAACTCTAGTTCCAGGGGATCTGATGTCCTCTTCCAGCCCCCACCAACACATGGTGCGGAGACATGCACACAGGCAAAACACCCAGACACATCAAATAAAAACAATAAGTATTAAAAAATAAATAAGCAAAAGCTTCAGTGTTGATGGCACTCCCAAGAACATCTTGAACTTTCTAAGACCTGCCTGACTTTCTGCAGGAAATGTAAGCATGAACCCCACTATTGTGGGATATTTTGATTGCCCCCTGGCACTCCCAAGACTGCCCAATAAAGTTATACCTTGAATCAGGGAGCAGAGCCAGTGACTAGCTGACCGGAACTGGCCATAGAGAAGCCAGACATGGAGGGGGAAAACAGGAGGTGCAAGATGGAAGAGGTAACATCAAGTAGCAGAACATAGATTAATATAAATGGGTTAATTTAAGTTGTAAAAGCTAGTGGGACCAGTGAAAGCTAATGGCCAAGCTTTTATAATTAATAAGAAATCTCCATGTCATTATTTGGGAGCTGGCAAGTGGGATGAAAATACTCATTACACCCCACAAAGTGACACAGTACAGAAGAGCAAGGAGTCTCTGTGTACCCAGGGAAAGTGGCCCTATGATGGGCTACCCTGGGCAGACTAAGTTTACTTTCCTCAAAGATGTTAAAACTACCGAGAAGATTCATTAAGGCTTGAGTGTTGAGCCTATTGAAGATCTAAGACAATTCTAGCTCTTTTTTTGTTTGTTTGTTTGTTTGTTTGTTTGTTTTTCAAGACAAGGTTTCACTGTGTAACAGCCCTGGCTGTCCTGGAACTTACTCTGTAGACCAGGCTGGCCTCGAACTCACAGAGATCTGCCTGTGTCATTGTGGAAGTGGGGGTGGGGGTCTAGGGAGCTAGTGGTAAACCCGGCTGGGTTGAAAGAGAACAACCAGAACCAGCTGTCCCACCCAGATGACTGGGCTTCCTAGCCCCAGGCAATGAAGTTTGGCCCAGAGCTGGTGCCTCAAGGGAAAAAACGCCGGGATCTTCAGGAGGCCCCACTAGGCATCCAGCCAGATCCACCGGAAGATCCCAGGGGCGCGCCTGGAGCCAGGGGACCTGCATGAACCAGCCACCACCTCGGGCGGGCTGAACGACACAGGACCACTGACGATGAGTGATAATGAGTTCCTAGGCAATCTGCTAACCCCAGGCCCTAGTCACCTCCAGCTGACGTGACCGCTGGATGCTGCGTGGCTGAGTGGGCTAGGAGCCTTTGAACTGCCTTCCTTGGCCCTTTCTGTGCCGCAGAGTCACGGTAGATTCTGTTCCCGTACTCTGGAGCTTTCCTTTGCAAAATAATAGCCCAAAATGTGGGGCATCTCAAGCCACTTTCCTTTGGAAGGGTCCAGTTAGTCCTTCTGAAACACCCCCTTAAATAAATCGCATAGACTACAGTGTAGGCGAGGAAACACAGGCCTCTTTTCCGGTCAGTCCAGGGCCTATTCTAAACACCGGGGCTTTGGACGAGTTACTTAACAATTCTGGACCTCCGTGTCCTCAACCTGTAAGGGAGGGAAAGCAGTCTTAGTGTCCACCTCGTAACAGAGTGGTTTTGAGGAGAATTGGGGGGCTTCCATAAATAAACACTTAGACCACTGTAGTGCCACATGTGCCTGTTTGGATTTGGTACCCCTTTCCTATGGGTTTGGGGTGGGGGTGGGGCACCTCCATGTTAAAGTTCTCACAGGTCTATTCAGAGGCATGTTTGGGCAAAGTGGAAAGAGCACTGCTATTGTCACCAGGAAGGTTTTTGTTTTGGGGGACTGGAGTCCTGGATTAAAGGTGCCACCACCACCCGGATTCTGGCTCTTAAGAGATAAAAAGCATTTTGAACTGGGAGGTGAAAAGAAAAGAAAGGGCCCGGTAATCGAATTCTAAGCCGATTTTGTTATGAATTCCAGCACATGGTAATCTACTACAAACGATCCAGAAGAAGGGAAATGTGACGGTGCAGAGGGAAAAGGGAATCACTGCAGGAGCAAGTATTCTAAGTAGGTGAGAGGGGATGCACTGCAGGACACCAGCAGAGAGCTGGCCTTAGAAGCACGGACAGATCACGTGTGAGGCCCCGAAGGAAGGCACAGTAGATGCTGACCCAGGAGACGCTCTGGGGATGAGGGAGCACAGAGAACCTTCGAGATTGCTTATTTTCGAAGTGAGTCAATTCCTCGGGGACAGGGAGACTGTGGAAGGAGGTTTTGGAATCTGAGGAAGGAAAAGGTTGTGTCCCGACCATTCACAAGGAAATACAGAAGTGCTCGACGCTGCCGAGGGTTCCTCTGGAGTTTGTGGTTATAGATTTAGAGAAACAAGTCAACCTGGCTGTGCATGATCCTCTGGGTAGATTCAGCTCTCCAAGTGCAGACAGACGCAGGTGGTGGGGTTAGGCAGAAATGTAGGTGTGCGGGGGTCCTGACTGACCACGACAGAGAGACAGGATGAAGGGGTTTGCAAGCGTGGTTACAACGGCGTGTCTTAGAACACGAACTAAAGAAGAAGAGGCACGAGGAGATGATGTTGATGGGAGGAAACGAAAACAGAGCAGTCGAGACGCTCAGAACTGGACCCAAACTGACGCCGACGAGGCCCAAACGGGAGGGCTGCAATGACTGCAAGCCTATCTTGAACTATACAAACTTTTTACCCTGTCTCAAAAACACAAAAAAAGGGAGCTGGAGGGATGGCTCACCAGTTAAGAGCACCTGCTGCTCTTGTAAAGAACACAGGTTTTTGTTCCCAGCACCCACATGGCGGCTAGCAACCATCTGTAACTCCAGTTCCAGGGGATCCAAAGCCATCCTCTGGCCTCTGTGGGCGCTACGCAGAAAATGGTGCACAGACCTGCATGTGGGCAATCCTCTACATAAAATGAAAAATTAAATACATCTTTTTTTTAAAACCACACAAATGAACAAAGAAGAAGAGGAGGAGGAGGAACCTGGGCTGGTAGTGCACGCCTTTAATCCCAGCACTTGGGAGGAAGAGGTAGGTGGATCTCTGTGAGTCTGAAACCAGCCTGGGCTACAGAACAAGCTCCAGGACAGCCAGGGCTACACAAAGAAACTCTGTCTCGAAAAACCAAAAAAGGGGGGGGGGGGGAACCCCATAAATGGCTTCAAATGGTGGTGTGTTCCTTTAATCCTGGCACTCACTGCAATTCCAGTCCCAGGGGACCTGACGCCCTTTTCTGACCTCTGCAGACACCAGAACACATGTGCTGCATATGCACACAAAATAATAAATCTGTTAAAAAAAATAACACAAAAATAAGAAGTGGAACAACAGAGGGTGATCAGACAAAGGGAGACTACAGGAGGTTCTGAAAGCTCCAGGAGCTGGAGGATTGGCACATTTTTTGGCTAATGAAGAACATACAGTTGAATCGAATATGAGATGGCTATTGAAGGATGGACTGTAGAACGGAACACTGAGGTGCACGATAGATCTTTAGAAGAGAGTAAGGAATTGATTTTGTTTTACTTTGTTTTGTTTTGGTTACAGTTTCTGTGTCTCCCTGGCTGTCCTGGATCTCACTCTGTAGACCAGGCTGGCCTCAAACTCAAGAGATCCGCCCGCCTCTGCCTCCCCAGTGCTGGAACTAAAGGCATGAGCCACCACGCCCAGCCACAGTCACACACTCTTATGTGGCTGTGAATTTTCATAAAGGATTAAAAGAAACTGTTAACAGACTAGAATAGCGTACAAACTCAGAGTCAACAAATTAGAACCCCCAATCACTTCTGTAGAATGAGCCACCTTATTGAGGGAATGGGAACTGCTCATGGGTGGTGGGAACTAATCGTGGAAGCTCCTCATAGACCCGGGTACCCTGAGAATATAGCTCACTATGACTTTATGTGTTGTTTGTTGAGAAAGGGTCTCCCTAAACTGGTTTCAAATTCCTGATCCTTCTGCCTCAGCCTCCTGAGTGCTGAGATTACATATGTACAGGCAGGCAGCACCAGGCCTGGGTGTGGTTTTATTTTTGCTAAGCCTCCTTCTAGTTCTTACCGTCTGTAAATCTCTGGGAATCCACCTCTGGGTCCAGTAATATGTTGAGAAAATGAGACTAGAGAGACCCAGGCAGACTCAAGTACTCAACAACCTTGTTTGACACATTCCCATTTGCACCAACACAGCATCTTCGCTCATCTAGTTTTTACACGAACACACACACCCCCCCACACACACACCCTTCAGACAGGGAAACCCAGCACACCTGCAGTCACTCACATTTGTTCCTGTCACATCATCCACTCGGTGTCATCACCCGGCACACACAGGCCAGTCTCAATCCCAGAGACCTCCACCAACCTTTAGCAAATGAGGCAACTGCTGGGTGACCAGTTCCTTAAACTCATTGATGCTCAGGCTGCCTTTCCGTCCTTCCAGGCCTGCAAAGGTGAAGAACGTGGTGACCACGGTCTCGATGGCTGCCTCCAGTTCGGTCAGCGGCTCGGCTGCCATTAGTACCCCAAAGTAGGAGCCGAGGTCTTCACAGAGTGACCTGGCAGGGGAAGAAAGAGACCACGAGAGTTAGGGATCCAAGAATGGGTAAGGTGGCTGCCTGAAAGGGTCAGTGTTGGAAAGATGAAAGGGTCCAGAACAGGCAACAGTATTTCAGTTTAGGTTCACTTCCAGAAAGAATTTTTCCCCGACTCCCATGTCTGAGTGTCCTTTTTAAGTGTCTGTCTTAGGGATGCCTCTGTAGCGTCTCTCCGTGTGGCAACCACTCTATCTTTGAGGGCTTTTCTTTGGAGTCTTCTGAGTGTGCTAACATCACCTGTAGGGTCTCTGTTCTAATGACCCTTTCTTGTTGTCTCTCCCTGTCTTAGGGTCAGGAAGTTATTTGTCTCCAGTGCTTATTTATGTTGAGAGCAGAGTCTCCACCCTCCCACAGACTGGCTACTGTTCATAGTAGAGAAGCCTAGTGTTGGCAAAGGCCCAACTGAGGTCAGGTCTGGCTCAATCGGGCCAGATCCATCTTCTCTGCCCCATACCCTACCTCTTCTGAGGGGGTCCAAGAGTGCTCAGCACGAGACCCCACCAACGTTCTCCACTCTATGATTGACAAGGTCCAGAAAGGGACTCTTCAAACTCCTCAAGCCCACAGCCCACAAAGTGTTTGGCATGGACACCCAGTGCCCTCGGGGCTCCAGGAAGGGAAGAAACATGCCTACTCATCCCCCTCATTTCTGTCCACCCACCCACATACTCCTGCAAGGACCTTTGCCTGCTTTCCTGAAGCCACTTCCTGAATCTCTGCCTGAACCCACTTGGAAGGAGGAACCTGGGAGCTGATAAAGAAAAGGTCTTGGCCAGGCTCTCTGCAGAGTCAGAGAGAGCAACTCACCCGGGAAGGGAGATGGGATGCAGTAAGCTGAGCTGAAGCCTCAAGGCTGAAGTTTTTAAGCACCAGGGAAGAAGACAGCCACTCCCAGTTCCGAAGTGTCAAGTTTCCGCCTCCGCTGATTCGGAAAAGAGGGGACCGCCCCTGCTGTCACTAGCCATCCCAATGTTGCACCACGCGACTCGGACAGAGCCTGTTGAGGAGGGACCATAGGGTCCCATCCCTCCCAGTTATGATGGCTAGTCAGAAGTCTGTCAGAGGGGCTGCTACTGCTGTTTGGCAAAATTAAAAAAAAAAAAAAAAAAAAAACGCTTGGGGAATTCAGCACTGTAAGCCTCGTCTGAGAAACCAGAGACCCTGCAAAAGACCCCACAGCCAAGGGCACTCGGAAAGCCCCAGACGGAGGCCCCCATAATGAAACTCCAATTGAAATTCTTCACTGAGTTCCCGGACAGAAGCCCCTCACGGAGGCGCACAGGCTAAGCACCCCTGGGCAGAATCCTTCCCTTCCCCTGCTCAGTCCGCCCCACAGCACCCTTCCCAAGATTTCTTCTCTTCCACCTCCTTCTTGCGGGCTCCGGGAGGGGATGCAATAAAGAACGGATAGAAACACGGGGCAGCCCGTTCCCGCCCGGGAGACAGAGGGCGCCTCTGTCCACTCCTGGCCTCTGGCCCTTCGCGGTGTCGTTGGTGAAGGGGTGGAGCTGGTGGGGAGGAGGGTCGGCAGGGAAGGGCAGGTCTCCCCACACCGCTGGAGGTGCCACATTCGCAGCCTGCCTGCCTGTCGAGAACCTGCTCCCACCTCAGGCCCAGGCCAACCGTGAGTACCCTACCCTCACTAGGATAGGTCCCCTGGCTTAGCCAGCCTGGAGGACAGGGAGCCTCAGAAAGACCCCCAAGAGCCCTGGAAAAGGATACAGTCTGCGAGGGTCTGGCAAGGGTCTGGCAGGACTCAGTCAAGGGAAAGGAAAGGGCGGTTTGGTATCTAGGGGGGATAAGGTTTGGGAAGTACTGAGAAGAGGTGAGAGAAGGTCAGAGAGCCAGAAGTTTGGTGAGTGAGGACGCCACCCAGCTTCCAGGCCACCAGTCCTTCCCCCAGAACCCAGTGTCCCCTGCCAGGTACCCCAGTCTCTAGGTGTGGAAAGGGAGGAGAGACAGCCCTGCTCCTTTAGGGTAAGAATAAGAACGGCTGTTCCTGCCCCCTCCCCAGCCTCAGTCTCTGCCACCCCCTAACCAGCCTTATCAAGAACCAAATCCCGGGGAAGTCAGGAGCAGCAGAGCATAGGCCCTGTGATATCATGAAGAAGGGGGTCCATGGCAGTATGCCCTGTCCTATCTCTGCCTTCACAAGACGTCCTCCTTATCCCTTTTTTTCAGTCTTGACCCCCACGTCTCTCTCCCCAAATTTTTCCTTTTGTTTTCCCACTGCTCCACCCCTAGGTCCTCCCCTTCATTAAATTCCAAGCTGCTGGAGGGCTCCAGGCAGACCTCCAGGTGCCCCTCATAGATGAGAACGGTAACTGAGCCACCCAAATTCCTCCCTTGAGCACTCTTTATCCCTCTGATCAGCCCGGCTTAGGTTCTATCTCCCCCTGTCTCTGTGACAACTGCTTCTTGTGACTGGAGTTCAGGTGACAGTCACAAGGGCTCCATTGAAGAGCTGGGATGTCATCTAATCAGGACCTATTGTCCAGTATACCCAGTGGTGAGGAAGGATGAGGACACCTGATCTGAGACATCTGAGCTGCCCCCGAGGCTGTGGAAAGCATGACCCTCCCAGGGCCAAAGGTCTGAGGCCCCCTAGCTTGGCAGTCCTTTCTCAATAGACCTCCCCATTCTTCTGCTCTCCCCCAGCCCCTTGAGCTCAAATGACCTCATGCACTCAGTCCTTCTAACACAAACCAGCCCTATCCTGTTCCCGCTGTAGCTACCCAAACAGAGCTGGCCTGAGGCAGGAATGGACAGCGTCAGAGACAACGCCTTCAGGTTCGCGTCTCAGGAAAACCTCAGACATTTCCCTCTCCCTCCCTTCTGCCTACCTGATGGAAAGGGATGGTTCTGTAGAGAGGATGAGTAGAATGGGAGGTAATGGGAAGCATGCCCCAGAGAAACCAAAACGACATACTGAGGAGCGAGGGGAGCCAGGCATGGACACAGGACTGCCCACAAGTTGAGGGCCAGCCTGAGCTAGTTCCAGGACCGCCTAGGCTATAGAATGTGACCCTGTCATAAATAAATAAATCCCAAGCAGGAAAAGATGGGAGATATAGCTAACTTACCTGGGCTTAATCCTCGGTGCCTAAAGAGGAAGAGCCACACCTGCTGACAGGAAGCTCAAACAGTGAGACCCCCTCCCCAACAACTCTTGGGTCTCCCACCCTGACTGCTCACCAAAGGCACCAGACTTCTTCCTGGGGTGGGCATCGTAGACATCAGCTCACTTACTACTAACTGCAAAGCTTGACTGTGACAGGCCTGGAAGGTGAAAATAGAGCTAAAAAGCTGCCTGGGCCGGTGTCCACCCATGCCTGCCCCGCCCCACCCCAACTCCATCCAGGCAGCCAGGAGCCAGCCACTGCAGATGTCTGTTGCAGGCTTCTTAAGAAAGCCCGGTTCCTACTGCTCAATCTCCATGCCCATCCCGGACTCCCTCTGGAGGGACCCAGAATGCTGGACTGGATTTAGGTGTGATAGGGTTTCTCCCACATTGCAAAAATCCCAATGAAAGATAAAGGACAAGGGGGGCCCATTCTGTAGCTATTTGAGCTGTGAAACCAGGGTCAAGTCTGAGGATATCCCTTACCCAGACCCCAGATATCCTGAACCTGATTTACAATTCACTTCCATCTTTGTGGGGTTGGGTAGGTGTGCTGCTGAAATGGGCTCTGAGCTCGAGACTGCCATGGAGACCCTCATCAACGTGTTCCATGCCCATTCGGGCAAGGAGGGGGACAAATATAAGCTGAGCAAGAAGGAGCTGAAAGACCTGCTACAGACTGAACTCTCCGGCTTCCTAGATGTGAGCAGAGGGTTGAGGTACAGGGTGGAGGAAGGAGATGGGTGCCCTGCCATATCCCTGCCTCACCCCAAGCTCAGCCCAATTATCTTCCTCTTCCATTGTTAACTAAGTTTTTCCAGGCTCCCTTAACACCTCCCTGGAAAAGTCAAAATGCCCTACTTTACTGACCACCTATCAATACTAGGCTCTGCAGATTTACCAATTACATTACCCACAGCATAGAATGGAGTCACAGCCGGGCCGTGGTGGCGCACGCCTTTAATCCTAGCACTCAAGAGGCACAGGCAGGTGAATCTCTGTGAGTCTGAAGCCAGCCTGGTCTACATAGTAAGTTCCAGGACAGCCAAGGCTACTACACAGAGGAACCCTGTCTTGAAAAACCCCAGAAAAAGTAAAACCATGAACTCAAAGAAACTTAGAACTATGGAGATTAGTACTCTGAAGTCACATGGCTTCTCTACTGAGGTGGCACTTGAGCCATAGATTTCCACTGGAAGATTGTAGGTAAATTAAGACATGGCAGGAGGTGCCCACGTGAAAAGAAGCATGGGAGGAAGGATGGAAAGTTTGCTCGGAAGCTTCCTTTGACTGGAGGATGCAGAGAGACAGATGCTGACAGGGACCACATACCAACTCCAGCTTTCTTAGGCTTCACTGAAGCTCTGGCCCTGCTATTTTGTTGCTGCATAACTTTTGTTTCTACCCCAACTGTCACTTTGTTTCTTCTCTGTCATGGAAGCAGTGGAAACGCCTCCCACATTATTTACATTCGTATTAAAGACAGGCTTGGTGGCACACATCTGTAATACTGGCACTAACGAGGCAGACCCAGGAAGACCTCAGGTTCCAGGCTAGCCTGGGTCAAGTGGCAAAAACTGGGTTGGTTGTTTTTTGTTTTGTTTTGTTTTGTTTTGTTTTGTTTTAAGACAGGGTCTCACTATGTACCCCAACTGACATGGAACTTGCTATGTAGACCAGGCTGGCCCTGAACTCAAATAGATCTACCTGCTTCTTTCCCCACTGAGTGCTGGAATTAAAGGCATCTGCCACTGAGCCCTAAAATCATTTTGTGTGTGTGTGTTTTATTAAAACAGAGCCTGTAAGGTTCCTAATGTAGCACCTGTCACATTGTAGACAATCATGGTCAACAACTGGTGTCAGTATCAACTCCGCTGGGTTCTGCAGACACCAGGAGCTCACCAGTCTCTCGTGCTGCCAAAGACTCCCATAAATATTATTCTCACTTGCTCATCTCTGCCTCAACCACTGTGCAGGCTCTAACTTAGTGGTATCAATTTCCATCTCCTCCTTCCACAGGTCCAGAAGGATGCAGATGCTGTGGACAAGGTAATGAAGGAACTGGATGAAAACGGAGATGGGGAGGTGGACTTCCAGGAGTATGTCGTGCTGGTGGCTGCTCTCACGGTGGCTTGTAACAACTTCTTCTGGGAGAACAGTTGAGCATATGGCCGCAATGGGCAGTGCCCTTCCTCTCTGCCTTGTCAACTTCTCCTATACCCTGCTTTCTCCTCACCCCACCTACACCTCCCCATGTCCCCATCCTTGCCCAGTCTCCCACCAAGGGCACAAGAGTGGTGGTCTGTCTAGGTCTGCCACTCACTCTAATAAAGGCTTCCCTCACCATCTGTCAATGACTATCTGCTCTGGGTCTGGATATGTGTGAAGTAAAGGGTGCTCACTCCCAACACTCCCTATCTTGGTGAGTTTATGTGCATTACATCTTATTTAAGGAACATTCAAGACCCAAAAATGTAGAGGTCCATAGTTTTAGCTGAAATTGAAGTGCCATTGGTAATCCTAGCACTTGAAGAATGGGACAGGAAGATTTTGAGTTCCAAGCCAGCCCATACTACACAGCCAGATCCTGTGTCCAAAAACAAAGACAAAAACGCAATCAAAAAACTGAAGAAAAGGTGGGTGGTGGTGGCGGCGGCGGCGGCGGGCGGCGGCGGCGGCGGCGGCGGCGGCGGCGCACGCCTTTAATCCTAGCACTCAGGAGGCAGAGGCAGGTGGGTCTCTGTAAATTCAAGGCCAGCCAGGTCTACAGAGTGAGCTTCAGGACAACCAGGGCTACACAGAGAACCCCTGACTGGGGTGGGGGTTTGGAGGAACAAAACAAAAAACGAGTAAAAGAAGAAAGGAAAACACATCAAAGTCAGGCTTTATAGCCATTTACAGTTCTGACGGGGGGGGGGGGGGGGGGGGGGGGGCGGCGGCGGGGGGGGGGGGGGCGGGGGCGGCGGATATTTAGCTCAACAGGTTCAACACCCAGCATAGTGCTGGGTGGGGAGGGGCGGTGGCTCTAACTAGGCATGGTGAAGTACCCTTTAATCCCAGCCCTCTCAGGTAGAGACACAAGCAAAGACAGGAGGATCTCTGAGAGTTCAAGGCCAGCTAGGGCTCCATCCTAGTGAGACATCCTGTGTAATGGCTAATCCTAGTTGTCAACCTAACTCCATCTGGAATCAACTAAAACCCAAGGGACTGGGCACACCTGTGACAGGCTTTATTGGATTACTCAAGGTGAAAAGACCCACCCTGAAATTAGCCACATCTTCTAGTGGCAGCCCACATAAAAGGACATGGAAGAGCTGGGCGCGGTGGTGCATGCCAATAATCCCAGCACTAGGAAGGCAGAGGCAAGAAGATCTCTGTTAGTTCGAGGCTAGTCTGGTTTACAGAGCAAGTTCCAGGACAGCCAAGGCTACACAAAGAAACTGTCTCGAAAAACAAACAAAAAAATTGCCATACGGTGATGGCGCACACCTTTAATCCCAGCACTCGGGAGGCAGGGCCAGGCGGATCTCTGTGAGTTCGAGGCCAGCCTGGGCTACCAAGTGAGTTCTAGGAAAGGCGCAAAGCTACACAGAGAAACCCTGCCTCGAAAAACCAAAAAAAAAAAAAAAAAAAAAAAGAGTTGTCTTTAGCTTAGGGATGGAGGAATAACAGAATACAAACATTGCTTCCAATCAAACCTAAACCGCTCTTTTGCAACCCAGAAAAATCCCTTTAAAGTGGAGCGTTAACTCTTCCAGCAGGCAGTCTAGGAGGTATCCTAGCGAGCAAGGCCAATGACCACGCCCCCAATGGGCGGAGCACTACGCCTAACTGAAGGGACCTTTGCCAAGGCCCCTGGAGATTCCCCGGCGATTCCGGAGCCGGCCCAAGCACCCATTTGCCACGCCCCCAGTTGCGCGCGCGCGCGCGCGCATTGACGCAAGTCCGTCGGCGCCATTTTAGCCGGTCACGCTGCCCTGGTGGGCCTGGCAGCCATTTTGTTTTGGACACCAAGCGGGAGTTGGCGGCGCCGGCTGTGGTGGCACAGACGACAAGGCAGGGAAGAGGGCAGGCCTGACGAGCGGGGAGGATCGGCCGGCTCCGATACCCGGCCCGCGACGAGTGAGCTTCGCATCATACCGTTAAAAGCATCTCACTCGACCGCCCAGCTAGTTAACCCGCACGAACGGTCCCCCCGTCAGCTCAGGTTAGGCCGGCCTCCGGCCCGCCCGCCGCAGCCGTCGTGGCAGCCCCGGGAGGAGCGCTGGCGTCCGTCTCCTTCGGTGAGTTTCTGTGGCGGAAGCAGAGGCGGGGCGCCGTGGGGGCTCGGGGCAGGGCGGCGCGGGTGGCAGGTGTGGATGGCGCCGAGGTGCGCGCAGGCCGGGGAGGGGGCGGAGCCGGGAGGCGGAGGCTGAGCCGGAACCGCGGCCGGCCGGCGAGCCGGCGGGATGGTCGGTGCTGGTTTGGGTTGTCTGGTGTGGTTATGGTGGTGTGGTTTGGGCTTTTTCGGGACTGGGCCTTGACCCCGGTGTCTTACTTATCTAGACACCCGGGCCGCAGCCTCCCCCTCCCTCCCCCCCACGCCAGAGTAGTGTCTGATGGGGGGGTAACAACGGAAATAATCAACTGACCAAAGAGGGTGGGGGGCATCTTGAGAGCCTTTGAGGATGGGGTGGAAGGTTACGTAAAGATTACAAGAGTTGAGCGACAGCTCTAGGTGCTGGTTTTTGCGGCACCGACATTGAATCCAAAATGCTGCTTTGGCGAGACAAGCGCTCCGAGTTAACGTCCTCAACCTTTTTTTTTTTTTTTTTTTTTTTTAATTTTCGTTTGAGACCGGGCCTCTCCAGTCACCCAGGCTCGCCTTGAGCTTGTGCCAACAGGTGTAGCTACGGTTAAATTTTGTGGAGTGCTCCTGAGAGCTCTCAAGATTGAATACCCATTTAGAGAACCCTTTCTGTCTTCACCCTGCCGTATCTTACTAGAACGCCACTTGCATTTGGAGTTGAGAATCGGTTTTGAAGCTAGGCATTTCTTTGTATGTGTGTGAGAGAGTCCGTGCCTCACAATGTCACATTGTAACCCACTATGGCCTCAGACTGTTAACACCATTCCCCTGTCGCAGCTGGAAATTGAACCCACGGCTTCATTAGTGCAACACAGTCACTCTACCACTGAGCTATATTCTATTCCCAGCTCCTGCTTTTATTTTGATACATAGTTTTCAATTTTCTATAGACTTCTAAGATGCACCTGGGTAGCACCCTAATCCCAGTTGCTGTTCCCCAGTCCTCGTGGCCAGATTGTAGTTTAATTGGTCTGGGTCCAGGCATCAAGGTAAAATGTGGTTTGGGGTCTTTCTTTTCTTTCACGTTACTTGGCTGAATCAGTGTAGGCTGGAAGGACTGTTGTAGATTGAAAGCCAGGCTCCTAGGCTTTGACTACATCTGATTCTGCCATTTTGGAGACTTTGGCAGACATTCTTCATACTGGGGCTTTGACATTTTGATAACTGTGATATAAACTTATGTTCATAAAAAATGAATTTTAATATGGTTTTCAACAGTTTGTAATATAGACCTTTCATTGATTTATGCCTTGTTCCTTGTGAAAATGCAATCTTCAGCTGGGTGGTTGTGGTGCTCACCTTTGATCCCAGCACTCTGAGGCAGAGGCAGAGGTAGATCTCTGAGTTCGAGGCCAGCCTGGTCTATAGATTTGAGTTCCGGGACAGCCAAGGCTACAACAGAGGGGAAAGAAAGAAAATGCAGTCTTGATGATTTTACTTCACTCATTATGCATATTGTCCTTTGTAGATTCTCGGGATTTGAAGATGGGCCGCACAGTCAGCGCCGAAAGTTGTGCTAAAAAGCACCACCAAGATGTCTCTAAATGAGCGGTGAGGCAGCCAACAGCAACTTCAGCTCCTTCCTAAGAAAACAGTACTTAAGTTGGCCCTGGGGTCCACTACACAAAAACCAGTTGTAAGCTAAAAACAGAAGGCTACCAGACCTCTGTTCTTAATTGCATCTAATGTGGTACACAGAACAAATTGGGCGGTTGTTTCAAAACCCCTTATCAGTAGATTTTTATATTAAACTATCTGAAATATTTACATGGTGGGATCTGTTTTTTTTTGAAAGACTCCTCACACCCTCCTTTTTAAACATTGATACAGGGGTGGTGCAGCATGATGGTATGGTATATCCTGGCTGCAACAGGCTTGCTGCCTAGTCCAAGGCCAGCAGTGTTGTGGCTGGCCTGTAAGAGGCAGGTAGCAAGCCGTGACTATGTCCAAAGGCCCCTGAATGTCATTCTTGGGCCTTGTAAGAGGCACTTGCTTTGCTTCATTTCACTCTCTTCCCATTCTGCTTTTTAGTATGTTTTGTTGGCATTCTTTTGACGCCTGTATGTTTTCTTCCATTAACTTAATCACAATAGGAATGATAGAATGTCCTCATAGGCTTCTAAGTGGTTGACTAATTAAACTGTCTCAGAAGTACTGAGTTAGAAAAAGTGATTATTTGAGACTGAGAGAAATTAAGTTAAAGGCAGTTTTTGTTTCTGAGAGTTTCATTTATTTGGTGTCTTTCACCATTTTATTATATTGCTGCTAGAACTCCCAAGGCATTTAATGTCTGTTTTTGTTTCTAAAGCAAATGTACTTCTCTGCTCATATCTTAAAATATGACACATTAATTACCTGTATTCATGTGTTACTAAGTAACATGTTAGAGTGTAATAAATTTCCATAATTTATTTGTCTGTATTATTTCAGTGGACTTCCAAGGTGTTCTGGTCCTTCCTCCTGTTTGTCCTTAGAATGAACCCTTCACTCCCCAAAGGTGTAGGCATTTTTGTTTGTCTTTGTAACTGCATCTCTCTCTGTCTCTTGTCATCATATTGGCTTAATGCGTGTTTTTCATACTTTTCACTTCTCTAAGAGCTGTTACCTGAGCCCTTGTTATCACTTTTAATTGTGCTGCACTTGGCTGCATTTCTGAGTTTCTGGTTCTTGCAAGTTTGTGGAAACAGAGGAGTCTTTAACCCACATCAACCTTGATCCAAATGTACCACTTTAAAGTTCGTGGGATCTGGAGCTCCTGGTCTAGCAAGCCATGAAAATGCCAATAAGTGTTTTATAATAAAGCTTTTATTTAAACACCCATTTTGTTCGACCTTGAAGCTTTACTAATATGCTGAAGAACAAACAGCCGATGCCAGTGAATATTCGGGCTTCGATGCAGCAGCAGCAGCAGCTAGCCAGTGCCAGAAACAGAAGACTGGCCCAGCAGATGGAGAATAGACCCTCTGTCCAGGCAGCATTAAAACTGAAGCAGGTGAGAGA